CCCCAAAACCCCAAAACCCCAAAACCCCAAAACCCCGGTAAATACAGCTTAGATTGATATCCTCTCATAAATAGATTTTTTCTTAAAAATCATTAATGAAGTCCTCAATTCAAAACCTTCTCCCACATATCCGCTCTATAGAGGTTAGAGATGACCAAGAACCAAGTGACCACAACTGTAACCAAGGGTAAACCAAACTCTCCTCCAAAATGACTCTACCTAAAGACTTCCACCATAAAACCCAGGCTAAATAACTAAAATCTGGTTTAACCCTCGCCTGAGATGCCTATTCTTAATTTAACTTACCCTCACCTATTCGCTTACTCTAAATAACCTCTTAATATAGGAACTCGAAAGTAGTGATCACCGTGGACAACCTTATCGAAAAACTCAATAAACCCAACCACCCCAGCCATAAAGTTCCCAAGAATCCAACAAAACTTGCCTCGTCTACCCTTACCAGAGCCGTTCAGTCCAAAATCCCCCTGCCTTCCAAGCGTAAGTCTACATTTCATTTAATTCCTACCCTTCTTCCTAAATTCCTTCTTGTTCATAAATTCCTCTGGACAGTTAACTGCGAGAGCCTAAATTTGGCCGTGCATAAGCTCATTGGCTTCTGTGTGGCCTGGCTGGAAGAGATAAGAGAGATTTTGTTAAAATTTTGAATTTTTGGATTTTTTGGGATATTTTAGTGATTTGTGCTGTGGAAGAATTTTTCAGCGCAAATTTAGGGTTTTGTTTGTGGGGGTTTTGGGAGTTAGGACTTGGTAGTGCCAGTTTTGGGTTAAAGTAATAGATGGGGATGGTGCTGTGTTAAAATAGAGTCAGAGGAAGGATTTAGCGGCTTATTTTGTTTATCAGTGAAATGCTATTTGATAATATTCATTATAATTTAATTTTCTTCTTTAGATTGTAAGAAGCCTAATAAGAAACCCGATAATAACTCTACTACAAATAATACCATAGAGAGTAGGTACAATTTTACAACGCTTTAGTGTACATAGATGTAGAATCGGATGAGAATAACTACCCTATTAAAAACAACAAGAAAAGAAGTAGGTCATATTTTCAATCATCACAAATTCCATCAAACTCAACCATATCCATCAAAATCTCCAAAAATCCAAATTCCCATTCCATCTCACCCACCAATCCCTATAGAACCTAAAGAACCCTCAAATCCCCACAAAAGACTTCTAAACCCACCCAACCCCCCTACAAAACCGCCTCAAATCCCAAAACCAAGAAAAGCTGCCACAAAGGCTCTCAGGCCAAGAATCTCGACTAAAAGCAGGAATATCCCCCAAAATTCCCAAAATGCTCTCAAGTCTCTTTCTTTCCCTTCAAAATCCCATGTTTCCCAGCTAAATAATTCCTCAGGGCCTCAGCCTAGACTGGGACCCTGAATGACCCAAAGTAATTGCCAAGGACTTCCAGTGGAGAAGAAAGACAGTTCTAGGAAGAAATGGGATTTGGAAAGAGAGATTAAGAGGGTCGAGATAAGGGGTAAATAGAAGAACGACAATAGCGCCAAAGATGATCAAGGGGGATTTGCCAAGGAAAGCAAAGAAGAGAAATAAGTCAGTATCGAAAGTTCAGATGAGTAAGAGAGCAGAAAAGAGGCAAAGGACTTTAGATCAGACTGTTAAAATAAAACATAAGCCGAAGAGTACAAGACCAAAAAGTTCAAAGCCAAATGCTATTAAGAAAGAGAATCTTAAAAGGATAAGAAAGAAGGATAAAGAACACAAGAAACAGAAGGAACTAAAACCCATCCCTCATAAGAAAAATAAAATTTCAAAGAAAAACTCTAACAAGAAAAACAATGGAACTAAGAAGATATATGAAAAGATAGTGGAAAAGAAAGTGGAAAAGAAAGCGGAACAGAGAGTGGAGCAGAAAGTGGAACAGAAAGTGAATCAGAAGTTGGAAAAGACAATGAAAAAGCCAGTGGAAAAGACAGAGAAAACAATACTAAAAGAAAAGAATAATGATCTTTCGCAAAGTTTCCAACCCATCGAGATCTTAGCGGACTGAAACACTAATGTTGATTCAATACCTGATTTTGACGAATGTAATAGAACTGATCTTAAAACCCCAAAAGTGACTGATGTTGTTGATGAAGCAGAAGACCTTCATTTTGATGAGATAATCTCCAAAGATTCAGGTAAGCTGATATCTTATATCCAGATGTCTTTGAAGTAAATGAAATACAGCCTCTAAAGAAAGACACGCCTTTTAAAGCTGCTCAAGAATTTGTTGAGAACTTTAACGACAGGAGTTTGTTTGGAGATCGTATTACCCCTCACAAGAACCAGTTTGCTCCTACTCCATACAAGAGAAATTATAAAATAGAGACTATTAACGAAGTTCAGAATGATTCTCCACTTGATGTTGTTACTCCTCAGAAGAAATCTATTTCCCCTAGAAAATCTCAGGAAGATCCCTGGTTCCATGAACCTTTAGACTTAGAGTCAGATAAGGTAGACAACAAGCAGATATAGTGCCTGAAGATACTAACTGAAAGCAAGCTGTTTTGCTTAACCAAAGGGGTAAGTCCAACAGATAGCATAACTTTAAACGCTTGTCAAAATATTTCTAATACAGGTTAGCTGATCTATTGATAATAGGATGGTCCCTATATATCTAGACACATCTTTACATTTCTTGCAATAATTGTACCATCAAGTTTTGCATAACTAAGAGGGCTAGATGACCAAATTCATCTGCACTAGAATTTTATTTAAGGTATTGAGAACCAAAGAATTTCAAATTAAAATCTCATAAAAATTAGTATTTACTTTAGGTAATAATATGTTTCCTGTTTTAAGCTTCAGTATTTTTGATGGGGAAATTTTTGTATTCAAAACTTTCGTTTCGAGTTGATTTTTGAGTAGTTATTCTAAACTAATTCTATGGAGACGAATCCAATGAACTTGCCAATTTGATTTCTAAATTCTGAAGTTTGTAAAATTCAAAAGTAAGTTTTCTTCAAAATTGAAAGTTCTTAAGATGCGAATTTGCCAAGCATCAAAATATTACAGCCAATGTCCAAAAGATAAGACATTGACTACGATGAACTAGGTTCTATATCCAAGCAATTCCATCGTCTAAGCATCATCTATAGATCCTTTTGAACACTTTGATGAAGAAATGACTCACCATAACGACGTCAGTGTAACTTCAGAAATGATGGAGAATAACTTTGTCAAACAATTCTCGATGGTTCAAAAGTCAGTGAAAGATTTCACTAAAAATGTTATGAAGAAGAAAACAGTAAGATAACTTTTAAATCCAAATTTCTCTAAACTTTACCTTTAATACTTGTTATTATTCCTTCAGATAAGTTTTGATAGCCATCAGGATATGAAAATTAACCATTTTAAATAGAGAAAGAAGCGCAATGTAAAAGCACAGAGTAAATAAGAATGCAGATGAAGAAACTAAAGAAAATGTGAATGAAGATAAGGTGAGTTAAAGGTTTTCTTCTTTCAAGTTAAATTTTAACCCTTCCTTATAATTCTAATCATAATTTAGCTCAAACAAAGGTTTAAAGACAACCAAATACACTTAGATTCCCTAAAAGAACTTGTTACTGGTCTAAAACTCACTCAAAATTCCGAAAAAGACATTGAACTTGACACTTTCCTTACAGATCTTAATAAAATCCCCAAAATTTCCAAAAGTAAGTTCCTTGTTTCCTCTCCCAAACGCGCTCTTCTAACTCTCACATAGATTCTTCCTCACTCTACTTACTAAAAGACCAGAAACGGCTCAAAGTTCTCGAAGAGAGTCAAGAGAATTCTTCTGGGCAGAATCCAGAAGAGCCTAGTAAGAAAGTGTACCTGTACGGGCTATTAACTTATACTATATAAATTTCAATGTTTTAGTGTAGAATTGGGGTTTTGGGGTTTTGGGGTTTTGGGGTTTTGGGGTTTTGGGG